TTGCATGCATCCACTAACTCCTTCATACTCTGCTCCCTGCTGCTTTGTTTTATTCAGCTTTGTTGTGTCAGAGCCTGGAATCAGATTCCTTCGTCCTCTGCTGCGTTGGCTGTGTCTGACTTTGTTTCTGGAAATCTAATTGTCAAACAGTTGAAACTAGTTGTGTTTTTATCACTTTTGAAAACAGCGTATTGGTGTTGGGTCCATTCAGCATAATAATGTTCTGTTGCAGCTTCGGGTTGAAAGCTCACCTGTTCCCCACGGCGCCGTCTCGTCTGCTGAGGACGGGCTCCGCAGGGCCGATGCTGCTTCTTCCAAAGTGCATCCTTGATGACTACCTCGAATAAAAAAAACCAAGTGACATATTGGATTACAGGAAAACACGACCTGCACTGAGCCTGTTTCACTGGGTCCAAAGCTGCATACAGGCTCTGAGGTCAAAGGGCGCTTTGCTCATGTGCATGCAGCCGTCTTATTAAAATGGAAAAGAAAAAACTTTACTTTGAAGGCAAACAGCCTCTGTTTCCATTTTGTGCACCATTCTTCACAATCTTTACAGAAAATAAAATAAATAGATCAACTTTTTGAATGCTGGATTTGAAATTACACACAAAAGATAAAATTGTCTGGATGTTCCTTTAACACAACATTAAGTTTTGAGCAGTATGATTAAAATGGTATTATGAGCGGTTTTTGCAAACTGTATATTGAACCATTGGTGGACTCTGCAAACTCTTATGTGGATAACCTTTGCTTATATCCACACAACCTTTTCTCTAATAGAGATTTAATTATTTCAGGCTTAATATTATGAAATTCACAATATTCCCGTTTGTTACATCCCCAAAAAGTATGGTGTACTTACGGTTCTTCCTTTTTGTCGTCCTTTTTGTCGTCCTTCTTTTCGTCCTTTTTGTCGTCCTTTTTAGCATCGGTAGCACCGACAAGCGACTCATCTATGAGATTGTCTTTCATCAGAATGGCCCTGCCTTTGTCCTCCAGAGCATTCTTAGCATCAGGATACTCTGTTAGTGCCTCCATGAGATCATCTTTGGACAGGGCAAAGAGATCAGAATAGCCCACGCTTCGAATGTTAGCTGTTCTTCGGTTACCTGCCTTACTACCTTTGATCCCAAGGATGCTGATTTCTCCAA